GGCAGAAAACTGCGTCTGTTGCAAGTGGCATTTATCTCTATTAACCTTTATTAGTTCGCTTAGAATGTTATATAGCATCTCACGTGTGTACCGTTTGTTATGGTATAAAATGCTTAAAAGTGTGAAGTGTGCCTGAATGGAACCGCAGGTCGCTCATCAGCGCGCTCCTGGTCCCCACGACAAAGACATCAACGCTACGCCTATATTTTGTTTTCTCATGCCACAAGCTTAAGCTTTGTAATACGTTAAATGTTTAGTCCTCCGACACCGCAGCTCGTAATCCGTCGACACATTGGTTGCAATGCAGTTAAATCAAACTTAAATATTATGAGCGCATAGTTAGATGGTCACACTGGCGTGCGCGATAAGCGAGTCCAACGCCCTCGTTGGCGAGTCGCTTCTCGAAAACTCTCGTTCCGAACACTGTTGATTGGCTCAGGCGGTCCGCGACTAGATCCCATCACAAAAAGTCGGGTCAGCAAGCGACTGCTCGAATGGCGTCGCTTTTTTCCCGCGGTGGTCGCTTTTGCGATGAACGTTATCGCGCGACTAGATCCCATCGTCGTTGTGAACGCGCCTTTACTCCCAAAGGCGCTAAATAGGAAACGGCAGACTCATCTGTTTATCTGACGAGGCAAGCCAGGCAATGCAATCTAAACAGAGGAATGGTATGAGCACTGATAGAAGTTTTGCTGATGCCGCGACCGCGACCAATAATTCCCCAGCAAACCATCAGTGTCGACCTCTTAAGACAGTGTTCGAAGCGCATTATCACGCAAGTGTAATTTCTTTTATCAATTCGCCACAAACACTGGCTAAAAAACAGAGGTACTTGCCCGTTTAGCGATGGTTTGGTCCACCGCATAGAAGGACATCAAGAGGAGGAAGAGAGAAAATCAATTTTACAGCGATTTTCTTGTCAATTTTGATGAGTCCTAACCCTCCACCAAAAAGACGTTGCTTCCGACGTCAACAAGGGAAGAAGAGGAAAGACCAGGGAGAGCAAGAAAACAAACAAAATGCGCGCGGTAATAGAGCGTCCCGATTAGCTGCTACTGGGACACGTCATCCGACTTACAACCTATCGCAATGTGATCGCGTTTCGCGCCGAAACACGCCTGGCTTTGTTCCCGTGTTGCTATACCTCGTTTCAGCTTATGTCCGAGCGCGGCCGATCTTATGAGCGGAAGGGCCAGTGAAACAGCGAAAGAGGCACAACGTCATGGCGTGCTCTCTGCAGGTGATAGGACCAGCCGGTATTCGCCGTCTCTCTGTGCGTGCTCCTCTTCCGGCTAGTTCTATGAAGCGCAGAGAGCACGCCATGACGCTGTGCTTTTTGCGCTGCATGATTGGCCCTTCGGCTCATAACATAGGCCGCGCTCGGACCTAAGCTGAAACGAAGTATAGGAGCCTTGCGATGAAAGTTATCGCGCGACTAGATCGTATCGTCGGTGTGAAGGCGCCTTTACTCCCAAAGGCGTTAAATAGGAAACGGCAGACTCATCTGTTTATCTGACGAGTGGCGGGTAACTGGGTTCCAGCTTGCCTATCGAAGCAGCCGAAGGCCTCAAAGAAGCGTCATTGATAGTCGTCGCGCAATTAGTTTTGCTTTTTGCTGGAAGTGTTGTTTGAACTTGTAAGCCGGATCGGGGGTTCACGAAGCGATGCCCGGCACGTAGCTGCAGCGGCTTAAAGGTTTAAGCTATGTCTACTTTTTACATGCATTCGTTCGATGTTGCGTTTAGCGAGGCATGGGCCTGCTAGTTAAAAACGTGCATTCCTTTTTCTTGTGTTTATGTCAGAGTTTCCTTGCTTTTGTATTTGTGACATGCGTGCGCAGTGGGGGTGCCCGGTTCTCTGAGAGTACAAACGGGCACGAGATCACAACTTCGTGACGTTCTTGCGTAGAACGAGCGCTGCTTTCCAGCGTGTAGAGCTGGCGTCGTTCAGAGTAATGGGTCTTTATCGTTTCGCCGAAAAACACGTTTTGTGGACTGACGTTTCATGGACACGCGTTCGTCGACATTAACGTTCCATCGACACTCATTACGCGAATTGAACGGTGTAGGGACATTTAGTGACGCGTGTATCCCACACGTACTTTTGGGGGTGGGCTATCTGGCCCCCACACTCAAATGAGTTTGAGAACACTTTTTTGGATGTCCCAAAATTTTGTATAAAGGAAGCTGGTATTAGGACATGAGAATACTTTTTTACATGTTCCAAAATTTTGTATAAAGGAAGCTTCTATTAGGACACTACTAATGTTGAAATTAGTTTGTCTGGTTTGGCGGCCAGTAAAAACAAGGTGGCTTTTGGAATTTTACGACTAATTGTGTTTTATTAGTAAAAATAAACACGGTTGCAATAAAAAACCCGCATTCTTGAAAACACCAAATATCAGTTAGTTTGAATATATTGGGAACACATGCATTGTTTTTCTTTTTTCTCTGTGTTTTCAGTTTGCCAGCCACGCGCCTGTATCACATACTTTTGCACCCTGCTATGCTTCAATGGTTCTCGAAATATTTTTGAAATTGGCTAATTTATTGATTTTTGATAATGCTCATTAAGTGTTGGGCCTTCACAGGGTCCTGTATGTATGTAATCATGGTATACAATTATGTGTTGCTTTTCAGGAATGCTCCATGGCTCTTGTTCGTGGTTGGCTCCCAAGGCACAAAACTAAAAGAGTGAGAAATAAAACGTGCAAAAAGAAGAGAAAAGGATATAAGCGACGTTTCTGGCGCATGCCTTTCGTCAGACCACACGCAAGCCGCAAGTTTAATCTGTATCTTTGTAGTGTATGTTTCATTTAGTGTTTATGAGCAATAAATATGTAAACACAGATGCCAATTATTGTAGCTTACATTATCAAATATTCCATGATCCTGAAAAAGTTATATTGACAGGAATGACATTAAAGATACAGGCAAGCTGTTGGACTTACAGCATCGTGCAAACCCGACATTAAGGAACAAGAAAAAAGGACCCAAACAACAATTGAGATAATTGTGTGTTCCTCTCTTTTTTTTTTGATCTCGGGTTTCTACTGTTTTGATCTTTGCCTTGACGTTGCTTGGCATATATACGGTCTAGACTAATTTTGACTATCACCGTTCGATTTCAAGCATTGAAAGATTCAGCGAGATGGTGAAACAAGCCTATTTGACACAAACTTCGATAAAACGAAATTACGAGCACACATCCTACAACGGTATACGGTACTAGTGTCAAGTGATTCACGAATATAGTAAAATGACATCTAATTATTTAATGCAATGTCGTCGAATATTCATTCATAAGCTGAGACTGTGATGGAAACTATAGGTCCTCGGATCAGTCTTTCGCCACGTGATGATGCTCTTGCCCATACCCCCACGCAGAGAGCAGATTCGGGTGATGAAAGGGACGCGTTTGATTGATTCGACCGCAGTCTCAGCTTGTCGATGAACAAAGTATAGTGCAATCGACGACCGAATCGTATTTCAGATTCAGAATAAAACGTCAAAATGACGCTTAACTGTATAATAAAATGACGCGGAAATGTTGGAATGATGGCTAAATTCTATTCCAAGTGGACAATTAAGACGTCAAAATCACGCCAGTCTGCGTAATGATATGACGGCAGAATATAGAATTGACGGCTTAATTGTATTTCCGGTTGACAAATAAGGCGTAAAAATGACGCACAACATCGTCATTTGAAAATGACGGCCTGCCATTATTTATAATAATAATAATAATAATTTTTATTTTTGCATCCGTATGGGTTACAGACGCCGGAGCCACGGACAAAAAGTCAACAAATGTTGACTTGACGAGGTCCGGGCCCCGTGCACTTGGCAGACAGCTATGGCGATACAAAAATAACTGCAGAGATTACAGCAATACGTAAAATACATATATAAAAGAGACCTAGGTTTCACAGGTTAACGAAAACAGCTCTATACAAAAAGTAAGTACAATGACTTAGGGTTTATATTGTAGATGTCCACGTCATCTACGCAATATTTGTTTAGCAATGAGGGTAGATTATGTTTTAAAGACTGGTAACTGTAGTTCGTGCGAAACGGAAACACTTTCCATTCCTCGGAGTAGCGGGTGCAAATGGTGGGTATGTTTTTGATTAATCCCGATGTCTGTTTCAGAAAATTAATAGATTCAGGGGAAGAAAAAAGAAATGATCGAGTCAAAAGGTTGGAAATAGAGCTGCCAATATATTTCCTGTCATTTTGACGGATAATTGTTTACAGTGTAGCGTGAGATATTTTGTAGAAAATAGTTTGGGCGCCTGACAGTGCAGCTTAACTGCAGCACAGGGCAGACTTATCGGTGGCCTGGGTGCGTGACAGCGCAGATTCCAGCGAATGTGGCATCTTGTGCGATTAATCACCGTATACTTGGGGTCAACGTTCAATGGCCATGCTACCAAAGCTCAGTGAGTGGATATTTTGCGTCTGGATGATAAGCGTTGGAAGGGTGTATACAGCTCTCCCAACGAAAACAGCCAAGTCACTGATCTCACTGAGCTCTGGAGGCGTTCGCCGCTTACCGTATTTTACAGAAGGAAGTTACTCCGCATGGCCCAGAATGCGCTCCAGCGCTCCACAGCCCAGTAGACGATCATGGCGGCCCTCAGAAAGCGATTGTCAGAATGGTCTTCGAGCGATATATAAAATGGAAAACAAGAATTAATTGATTTGTTTTATTTTTATTGCGCGACCTTTTTGCGGAAAGCCTAGCTGTTCAATGCCAAACTGGGCATTCCGACAATATTGTAATGGGCGGGTTCGAGCCTAGGCGGCCGAGGTGGCGGTCAGAGCCGAGGGCCGCGGAGGAAAGACTGACACAGCTGACGCTCCCAGTGCTCGGACGGCAAAAGCCCCTGTTTATTCACGCACAGCCTTTTTACGTACATCCTAGAGGGCGCCCCGTAGCTCACTGCGCCTACACGCCCTCTACATACCCCCTTTAAGGAAAACAAACGAGAGCCACACTTAGCTCCGAAGGAACGTAATGAACGACCTAAGCCACATGGTGCAATACAAGTTCAGCCGCACCGGTGGCCTAACGCAGCGTCCGGACCTAGTGCGCACACCCGACGCAGGCAGTCTTGAGGGAGCAGCAGGGGATCCCTGTGGCGATGCAACTGGTAGAGAACTAGCTGCCCTGGGAGTGGAACTGCTGCACGCAGGCTCTGTGCGAAATGGAAACCGTGGTGGACTTTGGGATTCCTGCGGTTCTGCACCAGAGCTGCTGAGGTCGCAACCACCCGTTGGTGGAGACTGCTGCGGTACCAGATGTCTTCGGTTGCGAACGAGGGCACCTGCATCCGTATGAACCACGTAGGAGCGTGGACGCCGTGCTGGGCTAAGTACCGTGCCAGCACAATCTGCGTCGCGTATCCACACTCTCTCCCCCTCCCCCAGGGGATGCAAAGCATGTGCAGCATGCCGGCGGTCGAAATCCTGACGCTGGCGACGTCGTTGGGCAGTGTCGCGCCTGTGGAAATCAGCCGCGAGAGGTGAACCTGGAACCAATGTGGCGGTTGGGACTGGGAGGCGTGTCCGGGGGCTGCGCCCCATCAGCAGCTGAGCGGGGCTGTACCCAGTCACCCCCGGTGGGTTTTGGTAGGACAAGAGGGCCAAGGACCAGTCTGGAGACTTCTTGAAAAGTTCCTTGACAGTCCGCACCATCCGCTCGACTTCACCGTTGGACTTGGGATACCTGGGACTGCTGGTGACGTGGGAGAAGCCATAGCTCTGGGAGAAGGCCAGAGGTCGGCATTTTAGGTCGCCCTCACTCACCCTCACCCTCACAGCCACACTCACCTAAACCCCTCACTCACCCTCACCCTCACAGCTACACTCACCTTCAGCCCCTCACTCACCCTCACCCTCACAGTCACACTCACCTTCAGCCCTTCACTCACCCTCACTGAACCTCACGGCCCTCACGCACTCACCGCCCTCACGGCCCTCACGCCCCTCACGGCCCTCACGCCCCTCACTCACTCATGGCCCTCACCGCCCTCATGGCCCTCACCGCCCTCATGGCCCTCACTCACTCATGGCCCTCACCGCCCTCACGGCCCTCACCGCCCTCATGGCCATCACCGCCCTCACGGCCCTCACGTACTCATAGCCCTCACGCCACTCACCGCCCTCACCGCCCTCACTGCCCTCACGGCCCTCACGGCCCTCACCGCCCTCGCGGCCCTCACGGCCCTCACGCCACTCACCGCCCTCACGCCACTCACCGCCCTCACGGCCCTCACACCCCTCACGCCCCTCACGCACTGATAGCCCTCACGCCACTCAGGCCAGCTTCAGATGGGGCAATTTCGCCCAGAAACTTTACGTCGCAACACCAGCAACACGGGCCGCCCGCGATCACACGCAGCAACCAATTGCTGCAATTTGCCATCGTCATCATAACATTTTATTTTTCTTGCACTATTTAGACACAATTACGCGTTATAAACGTGTTTTTATGCATTTAAATCTCGTTAAGAATACTAATGCACCTTTCTGAAACAGTTTATTCCAAAAAACGATCGATTTCAAACCGGAACCAAGTCTTTCGGTGTCATCATCAACGGCACGAGGTATCACGTGAAAATTTTGCGTCCCTGATTAGATGCAGCCGGTTTAAACGTATTCGAATTGCTCCGAGTTGCTTGCTTATTTCGAACCGGACCCGATCTCAGCAATTCGTGTCAATCTAGGGAAAGCTAGATGCTCGATCTGAAGGGGGCCTCACGTACTCACCGCCCTCACGCACCCATGGCCCCCACACCCCACCTCATGCACTCACCGCCCTCACGGCCCTCACGCCACTGACTGCCCTCACGCACTCATGGCCCTCACCTCCCTCACGCACTCACCGCCCTCACACCACTCACGCACTCATGGCCCTCACGCCACTCACCGCCCTCACGCCCCTCATACCACTCACCGCCCTCACCGCCCTCATGGCCCTCACGGCCCTCATGGCCCTCACCGCCCTCACGGCCCTCACCGCCCTCACCGCCCTCACGGCCCTCACCGCCCTCACGGCACTCACGGCCCTCAGCGCCCTCACGGCCCTCACGGCCCTCACTCACCCTCACACTCATGAATTTTCCGGGTTCAGAAACTTACTCACCCTCACCTCACCTGTGAAGATGAGGGTGAGTGAGGGTGAGTGAGGGCCCTCATGAGTGAGGTTTGCCGAGGTATGGAGAAGCCAAGGAGCTCCGCTGATGAAAACTGAAGTCCATTATTGCTGACGAGTGTCTCCGGGATGCCATGTCTTGCGAAGACACTTTTGATAATGGAGATCACCGCCGCGGATGTCGTCGTGCGGAGGGACAGCACTTCTGGGTACCTCTAGTAGTAATCAACGAGGAGAAGGTACTATGTTCCTTCGTGATGAAGAATGTTCACACCGACTCTCTCCCAGGGACGGCTAGGCGTCACTGTAGGAAGCAGTGGCTCTGCTCGCTCGACCCGCGTGGTGGCGCAGTTGGGACAGTTCTCCACCACTGCCTTTATCTGGCTCCCCATTGTCGGCCACCAGACAGCCTTTCTGGAAATGGCGCTGCAGCGGTTCACTCCCAGGTGCCCGTCGTGGATGAGGGCCAGGACGTGTTTCCGCAGAGAAGCAGGCACCAGTAGACGTCCCCCCCACAGGAGAAGGTCGTCGCCGACACTGAATTCAGCGCGATGACCCCGAAACTGAGCCATGCTGACAGGCAGACTTTCTTTCCGATGCCACCCTTGCTCGCAGTACGCCCTCAGCTGAGCGCACTCCCAATCCACAGCCTGGTGGGTACGGAAGCCGTCGAGGAGGACCGGAAGCGTGGGAGGGATAGCGCGGAGCGCTTCTTGGACGCACAGCTCAACCTTGTTGATGGTTGGAGTCGTTGGCTGCTGGTCGACCGGGTCCCGCGAAAGTGCATCTGCGGCAGCCAACTGTTTCCCAGGCACATACTTGACATCAAACTGGTACTGGAGGAGGCGGATACGAAAGCGCTGGATCCGGGGTGGCATGAGGTCAAAGTCCGCGGTTCCAAGGAGCTTGACCAACGGCTGATGGTCAGTCTCCAGGGTGAAACGAAGGCCCCGCGGAAGCTCGTCGAAGCGGTTAACGGCCCAGGTGGCAACCAGTGCCTCTTTTCCCATCTGGCTGTACATTTGTTCCGTTTCTGTCAGTGCGCGGGAGGCGTATGCAACTGGTCTGCGATCCCCTGATGGCTAGTCTTGAGAAGCACTGTACCCAGCCCGAAGGAACTGGCATCTACGGAGACTGTCGTCGGGAGTGCAGGGTTGTACCTTGCGAGGCAGATGTCCGAGGACAGCATTGCCTTAAGCTTTTCAAACGCAGAGGCTTGCTCTGGTCCCCACGTCCAGGCTGCAGTCTTGTTCAGGAGGCTTCGGATCGGCACAGTCGTCTGAGAGAGATCCGGGAGGAAGCGACCCACATGGTTGAGCATACCCAGAAGGCGTTGGACACCATGAATGTCCCGAGGAGCTGGCATACACTGAATGGCCGCCACCTTGTCTAGATCAGGAGCAATGCCGTTGGCTACGACGACGACACCGAGGAACCTTACGCTTGACACGCCGAAACTGCACTTGGCGGCGTTGAGTGTGACCCCCGCTTGTTGGAGTTGACCGAGGACTGCTTGGAGGCGCTGGTCGGCTCTTCCGTGGTGCGACCAAACACGAGAATGTCGTTCATGAGGTTAACGACGCCAGCCAACCCTTCCAGCAGGTGAGACATCTGACGCTGGAAATATTCCGGGGCCGACGTAATGCCGAATGGGAGGCGGCAATAGCAGTACCTGCCAAACGGATTGATGAAGGTCGTATACTCCTGGGAGTCCCGGGCCAAACGTACTTGATGGAAGCCTGCAGTAGCGTCCAACTTCGAAAAAAACACAGGCATTGCCGAGAAGTCCGAAGGTTTGGTCGACGATCGGGAGTACGTGGCGCTCACGCAGAACAACTTGGTTGAGCTTGGTCAAGTCGACGCAAAGGCGGTAACCCCCCGCTGGCTTCGGTACGACGACAAGGTCGGCACACTTGTCCGTCGGTTCGTCGACGCGCTGGATCACGCCCTCCTGCTCCATCTTGTCGAGCTTCTTTTTGACTACGTCTCGTAGGGGTATCGGGGTACGCCGGGCTGTGCTGAGGGAATACGGTACTGGAAAAGGCGGATACGAAAGCGCTGGATCCGGGGTGGCATGAGGTCAAGGTCCGCGGTTCGAAGGAGCTTGGCCAACGGCTGATGGTCAGTCCCCAGGGTGAAACGTGCATAACAACCTATGTGTTTTCCGGCGCGTACACTTATCAAGGCAAACTCTTCCACCGCAGTTATGCGAGAAAAAAAAATCACTACACAGCTGACGATTGGGAGAGGGGAAATCACAGCCTGTCCCTCGAACCATGCCAAAGATGAATGCCATAAGCACGGGCGAATCCAGAACTCCGTTTTTTTTGGGGGAGAAGGGGGGGGGGGGGGCGGAAAATTTGTAGGGATACTATTCTCCCATTCTTTGTTGTGCACTGGCGGGTCCACCCATGTCAAATTGCCCTCCGAGAAGGGGGGAGGAAGGGGGTCGTCTTCGTTCGAAGAGGGGGGGGGGGGGGGGCGACGGCAGCGGCCCTCCCCCCCCCCCCCCCCGAACGAAGACGACCCCCTTCCTCCCCCCTTCTCCCCCCTTGGATCCGCCCCTGGTCAAAAGGGACACTTTGAAGGATATGTGTATCTAAAGGAAGGTAAAAAAACACTCTTCGCTTTGCCGAGGAATCAAACAAAAACAAATAGGTGCAACAAAAGAAAAACACGCTATAAAAATGTATTTAAAAAAAGAAGACCAAAAAAAAAACGAAGTGGACATGATTACATCATTTGACCTATCAGCTGCGAAACGGTCACTCATGCCACTGTACCACGACCCGCGCTGAGATAAGAACCCAAAATGTTCGACTAAAGCCTGCTGCGTCCTCTGGGTATACAAGTTGCGCATGCATGTTGCGCATTATGCCCCCAGGAACCTGACTGCAAGCTACTACCGCAGGTTACCCCGCAGAAGAGGCGACCGAGAGTCTGAGCAATGATAATCCTCTGCTACTTTTTAGGAATCACCTTAAAGTAGTTTTAGAGCGCGAAGTGTCTCTTTTTTGGACTTTCCCATAGAAATTCTCCCAAGTTTCAACTGTATTTGGAACCTCCTCCTATTTTTGTAGCAAGGCAATTTCTCTGACAACCAAAAGCTTATGTCCGCTGCGTCGGATAGTTAAACTACTCTCCGTTTTATATTACTTGGGAAAAAAGTCTTTTTTTCGATTTCAACATTTGGGGAGTATCAGTCTCTGCTAATAGATGGCGCAAGTGGTTGATGTTCCTAAAAGTTGGGTCGGCGCATTACGCAGAAAGGCCCAGCATAACTAAACGGTATAAACCGCGTACCGACCACTTTGCGTCCTTCAAGGAAATCAAACGAGGTGTGCTCAGTGCTTGGAGAAAACCGCATCTCTATTCGACAAACGCATTGTTAAGATTATTTTAGTGCTTTAAGAGAGCTTTAAGAACAGACATGCTCAGTGGTGCATCTGTCGAGTTTCCAAAAATATAAAACGACCTCAAAAAATTAACGAAACAAAGGCACTCAGACCCTTTCATCACATTTAGTAAGGAATGTTTATTG